CAAAAAAGGGGGCAAATAGATCTACCTTGTACTGGGCAGAACTGTAAATGTTTTGTAGTGTTTGCAGATTGGGTTAATGCATTCTGCAACCTATAACTATTGTATTTCAATATTTCTCTGCTATTAATAAAAATCTTTTTGCTGATAAAAAAAAACAAACAAACAAACAGAGCCTTTTCCTCTGTTACTGCAACGAACCATCCTTTCTTGTTACACTTCAATTTGGCTGTATAGTTCTTACTTTTCAGCCCCAAACTAATCTTCCACCCAATCCTTTTTACTGAAAAACTTGCTCCATCAATTAATCCTTTAAGCCACAGGATTGCTTCAACAACGAGAAAGTTAGTAGCTTTCTTGTCTTCCCTCACCTTCAACGAACACTGTCCATTACTTCTACAATCTTCAAACAGGAATTACTAAGCCTCGAACTGCATTCTCCTCTCCATCTCTTGGCTAGCCGGAATCTTGCTTCCTCTCTCATATCACTTCAGGAGCTAATGGTCATTAACTCATTAACTTTGAGTCTTCTTCACTAATTAGCTTTTCTACATTCATCTCCATTGCCACTGCACAGGATCATGATAATATCTTACAACCATAACCTCTTCTGAAGAAACCTATCATGTATCGTTTTCACATTATTGCACTATCCTCGGGACTAATTGATATTGGAGACTCATTAAGAGTATAAAAGCTTGTGTCCTTTGTCTGGACAATGGCTATGGACAAATGTCTGTCCTGGACCAATCTTGAAAGAAGAGGGCTGCAAATTCAGGATAAGTCTTGTGTCCTTTGTGATGATCATCTGGAAACTACGGACCATTGGATTCACTGCCCTTTTGCTTCTCAGGTGTGGCATCACTTCTTGAAGATGGTGGGGATTTGTTGGGTCATGCCTACATCAACTAAGGAGTTACTATGCTGCTGGAAAATCAGTAATTTGAAGAAAAGAGGGAAAGTGGTTTGGTCCACTATTCCAGCAGCTGTGATTTGGGCCATTTGATCTGAGAGAAACAACAGAATTTTTAATCAAAAAGTGAGAGGGGCAGAGGATATAGTTCAGCTGGCTGTTGGTAAACTGCTTTCTTGGATCTCAGTCACTCCTGAATTCAGACACTCAAATGTAACTCATCTATTGAGAACTCAGTCAATCTGATGCTTGTAGTGGGAGTCCCTCAGGCCTGTCCGTTTGTGGGCAGGTTCTGTTTTGTACTTTTATGAGTTAGTTTTAATAAATTTATCTTACCTTTTCAAAAAAAAAAGAGTAGAGATAAAAGCTGTAATGGAGGGCGTGCAAAAAGCAAAGGCTATGAATGTGAGTAAAATGATTATTGAAGGAGATTCACAATTGGTAATAGGGTGGCTACAGAATAAAGAGAATGTTAAGGTAGCTAATTATGACATGGAAGTGAGATTTCAATGGATTCAAAGGGGAGCAAATAGCATGGCTGGTTCTCTAGCCAAACAAGGGGTGGGGAGAGATCAAATGTTCTAGGCACAGTTGTAAATGAAAAAAGTGTGCATGGGTAGGAGATAAGAGGTTTTATCTACTAAAGAATCTATAAATTTGTGTACCCCTTTTTATTATTAAAAAATGAATAAAATCCGGATGTTATTGATCATAAAAAACTTTAAGAGTTAATTATTTGGTCTATTGAAATTAAAGTCATCCATTGGTTAAATATAATGGTAGAAATCTGTAACTATCCCACTGATGATATTCTTATCAGATGGTAGGGGCAGTCCTATCATCTCTACTCCCCCCCCCCCCACACACACACACATACACAGAGAATGATGAAAGCGAAACTGAACTTTGATGGATGCAATATAGGTAATCTGGGCAATCAGGTATTGGAGGTGCCTCCAAGAACCATGTTAGCAAAATCCTAAAGGCATTTTTCTGGACCAATAGGAATCGAGAGTTCAATAAGAGCAAAACTAATAACAGTACTCCAAGGCTTGAGACTTGCAAAGGAGATAGAATATGATAATCTGATTATGAATGGGACTTGAAGTCATCATTGCATGGCTGAAAGGAGAAGTGACTGCACATTTAGAGCAGCCTTTGCATGAATCCCAAGATCCTGGCTGATTCATTAGCACATGAAGGAACCTATAGACATACACTGGTCTAGTGGGTATGCCCCTTGAGTTGAAAATAAGATGTATATTGGCCTAATGGGAAACAATTCCACAAGTTTTTGACGCAGCATTGACTCCTACAGCCTTATACATTATTTTTATAAACACAATATCACAATTACCGATCAAAGAAAAAAGAAAAGAAATGAAGAAAAAAAAATAGAAGAAGAATGAGGGAGAAACAGATAGAATTATCAATTCATCAAAAAAAAGAAACAGATAGAATTATCAGCCTAATTGGCAGGTTGATGCCTTCTACTTTAATTATATTATGGGGTAAAATTATGAGTATAACCTTCATAACTGTCCTAGTAGATAGACCTGTACAGTAAACAACATAGGAACTGACCTTTGGCAGGTTAATAAAACTAGCTTCTAGAATAAATACTGTCAAAGTTGAGAAAAAACCTTTCTTCAGACAACCCAAAGGACCATAAGAGCCTAAAAGCAAATTAGCATGGAAAGGTGGCATACCTGTGGCCAACAAGCACAATTGCAGGAGGAGAATCTCCAAACATTGCCTTTATAACAGCCAAAACGTCATTGCACAATGTCTGCAAAAAATAAGCTCCAAATTCATTTTCATCCAAAGGGGATGATGTAGAACAGTGCTTCAAAATACTGGTAGGCCAAGGAAATAATAATCATAATGCATGTACAAAATTTTGTGGAAATTTTCTTCTTAGGTATTAGGTTATACCTCAATAGAGAGGTCTATATCATTTTCTGTGATTGACTTTCCATGTCCCCGCAGGTCCATAGCTACTACTCGAGCCTTCTCCTTAATTTTGCTTGCTGACAATGCAAATGAAAGCCTGACAAGATGAATGAAACAATAATTTGGCAATTTAAATGAAGCCTAACCAAACATATAAACAATAATGAAGCAAGGCGGTGGTATGTACTCAGGACCAATTGGCCTTGGAGACTTTTTGACAGCTGAAGTTTTGTCCTTACTGGCACTGCAAAGTTTAAGACTAGCAAAGAAACTGGGGTTTCAACAGGTGGAAATGTAAGGGGATTCAAAGCTAGCCATATCTTGGACAATTGTAGCTGTCCAGCTGTTTGGGCTTACAGACATGCCTTTAGGGAAATTGAAAGTCTAGCAATGGAGATGACTGCCACATTCAGTTGGATTAAGAGGACTGCAAATGGGATGGCAGACTCATTAGTAAAGCAAGGGGTTAACAGACAGAAACTGCTTTGGACACAAGTGTAACTCAAGTTCTTATTGAAAACATGGGTTATTGGAATTTTCCAATAATTGCTTGACTATTTTAGAATTAAGTTAATTAATAAAGTTCCTTTTTGACTATCAAAAAAAAACATATAAACAATAATAAAGTATGTAATAGAAATAACAAGCACAATGCAATAATGGCAATCTTTTTTATGTTCACCCTAAACTTGTCGTTCTGGGTAGACTCATCATAAGAGCGAAATACAATACTTTTAAAGGATGGATGGTGGGAATACAAGAAGTCGTGGTCACACCTCTACAATTTGCAAATGACACAAACACCAAGGTTTAAAATGTCGATATCAGTGGAAATGTCGGTCATCCAAATATAAGAAACATGTCGGAAATGTTGGAAATGTTGGAAATATTGTGAAAATTTTTTTTTTTTTTGATAAATGACAGAAATTTTATTAAACCAGCAAATAAGAGTTACATGCAACCCGAGGAAAGGCACGAGATGTGACCTTTCCTTTAAAGCTAGTTATAGAATTATAAGTACAAAGAAATTACACGAAGCCCAAAATAAAGTATCCCGGAGAACCCCTTGTTTTGCAAGCAAATCAGCCAATGAGTTTGCTAATCTGCCTACCCACTGAACTCTGATTGTCATATTCCTTGTTAACCATTTAACCTTTTTGAGAAGATCTCTAAACCCCCAAATCACAGTGTCCGGATCCTTCAGCCAACCCACTATCACCTGGGAATCCCTTTCATATTCCTTGTGAAAATTATAGACATTGAGGAAACATTGTAAAATATGCAAAATATAGAATGATATTTTATGAAATGATAAAAGTAGCATCAGTACACTTTTTAAACTATTATCTTGTTCTGAATCATTGAAAAAGCTAAGAAACTAAGGTTATAGACAAGAGAATACATTCTGAAGTTGCCCTGTAAACCTTTTTGAAGTTGTGAGCAAAAAAGCAAGAAGCCCAAAAGAGATTATCCCACTAATTAAAAAACAGCCCCGAACATAGATTGTCTTTGAACTCCTTGTTTAGCTACACTGTCAGCCAAGCTGTTAGCTGATCTCCTAATACACCTTATTTGAATCAACATGTCTTTAGATGTCTGCTTGAAGCACCTAAGCCCATTCCTTAGCTTCCATATTACTCCTTCCCCCTTCAGCCAATTCACAACAATTTTTGAATCCCCTTCAATAATCAGCCTGTGAATCCCCATTTCTTTAGCTTTTTCCACTCCATACACTGCTGCCATCAGTTCTGATCTCACCACATCACCATGCTGAAACAGGACCTGAGTACATGGCTAGAATATTTCCTTTCTCTTTCCTTATTATCCCACCAATACCTGATGGGCCAGGATTTCCCAAACAGCTGCCATCAAAATTTAATTTCTTCCACCCAGCAGCTGGAGGAGATCAATCTCATTAACTCGAGGTCTTCTAGATGCAGTGTTAGCAATTGTTCCCCATGATCTGAAGAAACCTTCTATCTTAAAATCCGCTTCGACAAGACCCCCCCCCCTTTCAATTGGTGCTATGCATCTTCATTTTTCTTAACATAAAAGATTTTTATTAAAAATAAAGAAAAATGAGATTTTTCATCCTTTTCTTCCTCCTATCCCCCCTCCTCTCAAGGAGGCTTATGCCTCCTTATTGGTTGATACATAAAACCAAAAAAAAAAACTAGTTCGGAAGTGCCAGAGATCCATTGGCTTCTTATTTTTAAATTCCACCGCCTAGGCGCCTAGGCACCTAGGTGCCCCATGGTCTTGGTCAATCATTCCCGTCTTGGATGTCTGGGGTAAGCCAATTCCTCTTAGGGTTGGAGCTTTTCGTTGGGAAGCTGTCCTAGAAAGATACAATACTTTGTGATGTGCTCCAAAAGAAAAGTCCCTCATGGTGTTTATTCCCATATTGGTGCATTCTGTGTAAGGCAAATGGTGAGAGCTGCTACAACTTATTAATCTCTTGCCCTTTTGTGTCTGATATTTGGGTTTGGTTTCTCTCCTTGTTTGATTGCAGATGTACTCCTCCACCAAGCATACGGACTTGTTTGCTTCTTCTTTTTTCAGGTGGCCTAAGAAGAGGGGCAAAGTTCTTTGGAGATGTGGTAGGGCTGCCATTTGTTGGACATTTTGGGAAGAAGTTGCACTTTCAGCACCAGACCAAATGAAAGCCGGTCTTATTTGGTCTGCACCAGCTCCAAGGTTCATAAAACTAAATTTTGATGGTAGCAGTGAGGGCAACTTGGGGCCTTCATGTGTAGGAGGAGAGATGAAGAGGGGAAAGTGATTGCGATGTATTCTGGTCCTATTGGGGTTGCTGACTCTCTTAAAGCCAAGGTCATGGCAGTGTTAGAAGGGGAAAAGAAGGCAAAGGATTTGAACCTTAAAAAGCTAATTGTAAAAGGAGAATTTGAAACTGGTCATAGGATGACTGCAAGAGGAGAATAGTAAACTCTGGAGATTTGCTAATGAAAACAGAGAGTTCGATTGAGCAGCTTGGGGAATAGAGATTCAGCTTCATTGGTTGAAGAGAACTGCTAATTCCTTTGCAGATACCCTGGCTAAACAAGGGGTGGGAAGGGAACAATTGTTTTGGGCAGTTTTGTAACCGTTCTTCTGTTTTTCTTGGGAAGGGTTAAGAGATTTTATCTCTCCCTGTGTTTCCTTTGTAAGCTATTGTTTCTTTTTAATAAAAAGGTTCTGTTATTGATCATAAAAAAGCAATGTGCTTCCAATTAGCATCATATGCATTATATATAGGCTTATTTATTATTGCCAATATGCAAAGCATTCATCTTCTCAAATGAAAAATCAATTCCAAGGTGCATTGACATCTTGCAAGCTAGGGTACCAGACTATTATGAATATAAGTAATCTAATAGATGATTTTGTCACTAAAAAGGAGTAGGGTATACCCTGAATAGCCACCACCATGTAGACAAAAAACAACTGGTCCTTCAGCTCCTGCCTTGTATACATGATAAACCTAAACAAGAAAGCACATCAAGGAGACAATCCCTTTTATATGTAATAAAAAAGAAAATCAGGACAAAAAGTTACTCACATCATTTGATCCAGGAAAAGTGATGTCATCCTCTTGATCAAAATAACCCGACCATTCTAAAGGTGAGAATTTTGAAGAAGCCCTGGATGTATAATACTGAGTTTATAAGATACGTATTTCTATTTAGTTAAAGAAAAACAGCAAAGAATGATTTAGATAAGATTCTTAGCCATTGTCACAGATGCTTCTTACTTTCATAGAAACAAGGCCACCACACTATAGTAATAAAAAGATATCTAGGCAATATGGTGAGCTTAGTAGACTTAGGTTTCCATATAAATGAAGTGATCAAAATGGACACTAAACTTCATGCCTTCCATTATAATGGAGTGTCTGGCCAAGGTTATACAGGCTGTCTGAGCAGCAAATCACAATTGATCAGTTCTATGAATGGAGAGGGGAGCAGCTGATTTGGTCTCCAAAGTTTAGAAGTCCTTTACTTGATCAAGAAGTTGAAGAATGTATTCTACTGCTGGAGAAATTAGAAGGCACAAGTATCTCTTGGAGCACAGGAGATGATCTTTGGTGGAAAGAGTGCAAAGAAGGAAGATTCTCAGTGAAGTCTTTCTACAAGGCAATAACAAGAGAAAGTGTGGATAGAGGACAGATAAAAGGTGTATGGGGTAATCCAGTACCCCTAGGCCCTAGGATTGAGGCATTTGCTTGGTTGGTAGCACATGACAGCATTCTTACTACAGATCACTTGAAGAATAGAGGGTTTCACATGGCAATCTTCTGTTACTTATGCAACTTTGAGGAGGAACAGTTCTGCACCTGTTCTTTTCTTGTAGTGCAGCAAATTTCATCTGGAAGTTTTTCTCTTTCCTGTTCGGGATCAATGTCTTTCAACCTCTATCCCCAACCATAGTTGGCACCTAGGCGACTAGGTGGTTTTTCATGGTCGCCTCGCCCAAACACCACAAGTTTTGCATATTAGGCGCCCGCCCAGAGACTTAAGCGGGCGCCTACATTCATCTAAAAAATTATTTTTTTTAATTTATTGTTTTGATATTTTTTTAAATTTATTGTTTTGATATTTTATTGGATGTTTTATTCTTTTAAAATAAATCTGGTTACATGATATCATTTTAGTATTAAGACCAAATATACAGCCTTTTTTTTCTTTATGTCATAAGGGTTTTTTTGGTTCGATTGGAGAGGGAGGAGAACCGAAGACTTCAAACCCCAGCCCAACTCCACCGCACCTCAGCTCCGGCAAGCAAGTTCTTGTTCTTTTCCAGATTTCAGACATTTTTTCCTTTTCATTTTTCGAAAAAACAGGGGCTCTGCCAGTCCTCCCTTTCTCATCATCAGTAGTCACTTTCAGTCGTCAGTAGTCACTCTCAGTCATCAGTCGTCCACCCCATGAGTCCATTTTTTTGCTTTTTTTTTAAAAAAACAGGGGCTCCACCCTATACTCCTCTCCTCCCTTCACTGATTCAGTCATTGTTCTCACTTCTCACTTCAGTTTTTAACAGCTGAACCCATCATTAATATATATGAATATGATTATATGGCTGAAATCTATAGATTTTATATTTATAGATTCCATCGCCTAGGCGTCCCCTAGGCACCTAGGCGCCCCATGGTCGCCTAGCCTTGCCTAGCCACCTTGACAACTATGTCCCCAGCAGAAATCTTCTCCAAATGGCCAAAATTCAGAGGAAGAAAGAAAGCTAGAATCATGTGGAGCTGCATTCCATTTGCAATTTGCTGGGCTATATGGAATGAGAGGAACAGAAGGATCTTTGAAGACAAGGCAAAGCCCATTGATCAACTGGTAGCCGCAGTGAGCAATCTGATTTCAGATTGGGTGCTACAGCTCCCAGAATTCGACACAGTGAACAAAGCTGATTTGTTAGAAAACGTTTTGAGTACTCTTGAGTTACAGCCCTGTAATGAAGATTTATTTTCAGTTTGAGTGATGTACCTTTGCTCGGTTTGTCAACTTGACAACCAAAAGTTCTTGTAATGTACCTCATTTTCAATTTAATGAAATTTTTCTACTGATATTTCCAAAAAATAATGGAGTGTCTCAATATCTAGAGCATAAGGTCATCTCTCATCCAACTCTAGGACTTGAGTCATCCTCGACCTGAGTTGTCTCAAAAACCAAAGTACATCAATCTAATTCCATGTTTTCAATCCTCATTTCTCGCAACCCGGAGACACAATTACTCTCTCAAATCACCTAGTAACTCTACAATATCCCTCATTTCCTCATCCTTTGTACATTTCTTTCTAATGGAGCTTAATACCACCACCCATAAGCCCTCACAATGAAATTTTGCTGAGCGAAAGTATATAGAAAACAAGAAATACTCCAGTACAGTCAATACTACCATCTTAGATGCCTAAAAATGGATATGGATAGGGATCAACCTATTCTTCATCTATATAATTATCAAAAATTAAAAAAAAAAAAAAAAACAATTCTTCATCTATATGAAATGTCAAACCCCCCAAACTAATGGATGATTTAGTTCTGTATTGCAACTTACAGAATCTAGAGAAGAAAAGAGCATCATTTACTTGTTTTGAGGATTCTTAAGTGTTTACCAGTTGGATCCCCATACATAAACCAACCTACAACAGTATCCAGTAAATTTGAGTCCAGAAACATTGCTTGTTAGACCAAATAATCAAAGAGTAGTCATTTTAGATCAATATATAGGACTCCAATTAATTTAGGCATAACTTATGGCACTAAAATAGGACATCCCAATTGCTCTTATACCAAATACTTAATATATTTTAATTTAAGGTTGCAAGATTATTGCATGTCCTATTATTGTTAGTTTGAAGACGTAGCCCCCAAGAGAAGTTCACATTCAGACTCCAGCATATTTGTTTTTCTTGATTATTAACAAAAAGCTTCAGAATAACCAAACGAAAGCACAACAGAGTCCAGAACTAGACCTCCGGATGATTCTTTCAAGAAAAAATTAGAAGCAGATGTACCAAGACAGGAAGATGTTGAAGCCCTTAAAAGAATCATCAGTAAATGGCAAACAGATAATAAAGTTTCGATCTTGATCATGCTAATCTTCTCAATCAAATGAAAACACTCAGGAAATCTCGAAGATCCAATACCATCTAGTTCATGCCACTCCTAAATTAGAACTGAAAAAGTAAATGGGGAGAAGGAGAACGGCTTATTCATCAGGGTAAGAAGGAAAATGGGATAGCTTTTCGTTGTGCAGTAGGCAGATTATAAAAATCCTCCATATCCGATCAAAACTCCAGTTATACAAAATTTCCAAATTTCATTAGTTGTGCTCCTTGAAATTCGATCTTTAGTATAATTTAATTCAACTTCACAAGTTCTTGCCATTCTCAATGCAGCTATCTATTATTTAAAGAGAGAAAACAATATTTAGCAATACAAACCGAATGTAGTAAGAAAGCAAAAACAAAACAAATATTTTATACCAACTAACCATGAAAGACACATAAACGCATAAAACGATGAAAAATCTATGTAATGAGATCCTTTTATTCGTACTTTTGCATCGCTGTGATTGAATTTCCAGAAAATCTTATGGATCAAGTAGAGAAACATCAGACACAAATAAGATGGGGAGCTTACTGAGCTGCTGGGCGAGGAGGAACCGAAGAAAAAGCAGAAATGTGCTGAGGTTCCTCTTCCGAGGTCTCTTCGGGAAGAGAAGAAAGATTCGAGGGGTCCATCACCACCAAAGCAGAAATTTGAGAAATGAGAACTATGAGTAACTCTCGATCTCTTCCCTTGTTTTCTTATTTACGAACGATGGTTTCATCAAACTTCGGGCGGAAATACAGCACGAGATCAACCCAAAATGACGTCGAAGGGGTTATGCTAATATGCTCCTTTGGTAGCCAGACTATGAAATGGAGGAACCGTGTTTTGACCTTAACACGATATCAGCATGGCATTTGGCATGGCTTGAGCACATACGTGTATAAAACCTCCCTTTGATTTTCTATTAATCTTACAAACCGCCCCTGTGTTTTGACCTTAACAAAACCTCTCCTATAATTAAGCAAAATACCTCCCTCTAATCTCATACCTGATCCAATTACCTTAGATTCGAATGATGTATTTATGCAATTGGATTGGATTGGTTGTAGAGATGATGGGTCGAATGGCTTATTTTCTTGTGACTTTGTTAATAGGTAGTGTGTCTTAGTTATATGGGCCTATTTTCTTTTTTTGTTGTTGTTTTTGGTGCTAGCCGCCCTATTTAGGGTATTCATGTAATTGTCCTCATTTTTTACAATAATTAGGGGTGAGCAAAAAACTGAACCAACCGAACTGAAAAATCGGTTAATCGAATCGGTCGGTTCGGTTTCGGTTCAATGTTTTAAAAAAACCAACAGTTTCGGTTAACTATTTAAAAAAATGGCGGTTAACCAAATCAACATATATATATAGTAATATATTTTTATATAATATTATATATTATAATTTATTTTTTTAAATACAATAAAAAAGTTTGGCAGTCTGAGAGTGTTCAGATTACCGAAGTGAGAGTCTAAGACTTTCAGCAGGTTCGCCAGTCTAGCGAACAACCAATCTGATACCACACCCGCCACGTAGGGATTTTTCCCTTTCTTTCTCTCTCTCTCTCTCTTGACACTGGCGATCCCAATTCTCGGCGACACTGGTGATCCCAACGGGTTAGAGGCTCCACTGCATCTTAGTGATATTGGTGATCCCAGTTCTCTTTGATTGTGTTTTTCCCTTTTTTTTAATTTTGAGGGCATAAAAAAACCAAAAAACTGAACCACAGTTAACCAGTTTCATCGGTTTGGTTCCAATTCAATTAAATGTAAAAACTAAACATATCAGTTCGGTCCAAAAAATCACCCCCGTGAGCACCCTTAACAACAATAGAATAAAGATATTATTGGGAGATAAAGAAGGGTTTGAACTCTCTCTCTCTCTCTCTCTCTCTTCTTTCTTCCCTTTCTCCTCCATTACTTTTCTCTCTTCCATATTCTTCAATCTTCCTCTTACTTTCTTTATTTTTTTTATTATTGCAAGTGAGATTTACAACTTGGTATTAGAGCAGCAGTCCAAGTTGGAAAGGTTTCTGGAGCCTCTGGTAGGATAGCATTCTTTGACTTAAGACAATAAGTTTTGACTAGTAACACCCTATTTTGATTTCAATTTGTATCTATTTGGCCAATGGAGTAAACTAGATGTGAGATGAAACTCTCCATTGATTTCCAGATTGGTCTAGGAGGGTTTATGGAGACTCTATTAGGGGCAGTAACCTTAATAAGGTCGGATGAAACCAATTTTTTAGCTTGGTCTTACTCTATAAAGATCCATGTTTACAGTAGAGGGAAATGGGGGTACATCATTGGGACCAAGGAGAAACTTGCGAAGGATGATCCTACCTATGAGAGGTGGATGCAGGAGAACTACACTATAATAGACTGGTTAGTGAATTCCATGCAATCTCATACCAATCTGCATTATTTGTAGATGGAGATTACAAAAGAGGTGCGGGGCAGTGTTACAGAGACCTATTCCTAGAAGTTGAATGTTGATAGGGCCTACAAGCTGATGAATGATGTCAATAATTTAAGATAGGAGAGAAACCTTTGGTTGTTTATTTCTTTATGCTGAAATCTCTTTGGTAGGAAATTGACTTGATGAAGACTATTGTGTGGGGGTGTACTAAAAATGCTAAGACTCATAGTAAGCTAGTGGAGAGAAATTGGGCCTTTGAGTACCTTATGGACTCAATCCCAAGTATGACATTATTAGACAAAATATTCTAGCAAAAGATGAAGTTACCTTGTCCCAAGCCTATGCCATGGTTACCAGTGAGGAAAGTCTGAGACAGGTGCAGGTTATAGAGGTCTCAACTAATCATTTTGCAAATTTTGGGATGAAGCCAAGGGCTGGTACTGAGAAGAGAGATGTGATGTGTGAGTATTGCAAGAAATCTAAGCGCACAAAAGATACCTATTGGGAACTAAATCCAAAGCTTATACCTCCTTGGTTTAAGAATAACAATGGTAAGAAGAGTGGGACCGGAAAGAGTGGCAATGCCAATGTAACCACCTCTTTTGAGGTTAAAAGGGGTTTTGATGATGAGAAGTTAGTGGGGGAACAACTTTAAACTGCTACAAAAGAGTATGAAAAGTATGGATGACTCATTAGCTACCTAGAGTCTACTATTATCGCTAGTACATCTTTAGGAAATGGCTCCACATTTGCATATGCCCATTCAGGTATTTGTGCTACTATAAATGCTTCTATCTCAGATAATCTCATATGATCACTTGGATAATCGACTCCAGTGCTTTTGATAGTGTCCCATTTATTTTATACTTACCAACTTTTATCTGACCGAGATAAGATATTTCTTGCTAATGTCTCCTAATATGGGTGTTATTGGCCACTCTATCGGTGCACGACACGTGGCGCATCCCAAGGGTAATTTTGTCATCTCGACTTCATACAAAGGCACCCTTTTCCTTTCTAGCGAGTCATCAATGCGAAAGTGCACATCACGAACATTATGGTCCTAACCAAGCCCTCCCTAGCACATTTACTGTAGGGTAATGCTCAGTCGCATGGATAACGCTCCTATGATATCCCATAATCATGGCCCCCAACAAGCAGAGCCATTACACCACACCCACCACAATGACTCATGGGCAACTCCGACTATATAAGGGACTCCATGGCCTCAGGTACCTCTCTTACGTGCATTCATACTCTTTTACTTCTCTTGCTTATTGAGACCTCGGTACTCTTTGATCCCTTAGCTAACTTGATCGTCGGAGTCCTCACCCCTGGGACCACATCCCGGATTTTGTCGTCCTTTTACCTTGGAAGTGACAAAGCGACCCTCATCTCTAGATTTGGCAGCAATAATTAGCGTTGTCTATGGGAACAATTTACTAAGCTAATATTCCTTGTAAATTTAAACTTCTCCACTTATAACTTTGGCAATGGCTGACCATCAGGACAATGTCCCTCCTACTCCTCAAAACTTGGTCACGTTGGAGCAATTCAACATGCTACTCCAATGATTGGAGAACCTCTCTAACTGATTGGACAATTTGCAATTATAAGTAAGATGGTGGCTAGGATAGGGAGAAGGTCTCTTTGAAAGACAGAGGAAGGCCAAGAACAGGGAATCAATCCGGAGGCCAGGGTAAGAAGGGAGGGTGACAAAATGAGGGATTAATGAGGAGAATGCTTGATGGTTGAATTTATTTATGAGAAGGATCTCTATTTACGGGGGGAGGCCCCGAGATCCTAAAAGGAAGGAGTTAGAAGTGTTTGTCTTCTACTAGGAAAGGGAATATTGGATTCGTTGTCAATCATTAAGGATGTTGCTAGGGTTTTGCCACGTGTCCCTATGGGGATCTTTCCGAGCATTGGCTTTCCTTTCACTCGGAGATCCTCATAATCCATGAATGCTACTACCCTTCTCGTGCGCCTTGCTTGACTAACGTGGTGTTGGTGACGTCACCATCTGGAGGGGGACGTCTTATCAGACCTACATGATGCATTGTTACGTTCGTCCCTTCGAGATTATACGTGTAGGTAGCATCTGGGCTCGGTTTTTTGTGAACTGGGGTGTCGTAGCGATTGAGGGTTTATCGCAGGCAGAGTGCGTGTGAACATCATCGTGGGTTTGATACGGGTTTATCACAGCCCTTCGATGCATTGTGGGTTCATCATAGAGAGAAGATTGTCTGTAGACCGACCGTAGGCGTCCATGTGGTATCAATCTAGTGTTTATTGTGCCTTGAGGGACTAAGTGAACACTATGCACCTATGGCAACAACTAGTGGGAGGCCAACACCAATCAACCAACCTGCTAACACAAAATGCAACCATGATAGCATAGGGGTGACCACGAGCCAAGCTTTTCATGAAATATTCGAGCTTGACTCATGAAAAGCTTGATTTAGTTGGATCTAAACCAAACTTTGAGCCGAGCTCAAGCACAATATATAGGCACATTTGCTAATCGAGCTGAGCTTGAGCCAAATAAAGCTTGGCTCGTGAGGCTAACGAGCCTAATCGAGCTTTTATGTATATGCATACATATATACATACATACATACATGTATAATTTTAGAATGGATTCATTGACCAACCAAAGCCTGGCCCAGGCCCGAGCCCAACCCGAGTGCATCAAATTACATTGCAAGGTAGGCTCGGGGTTGTAAAGATCGGGCTTTACCTTGGGTTCAGGCCTTAGGCTGAAATCTAAGGGTTGGGCTTGGGTTGACCATAAACCCGGCCCAACCCACCTAATTTGCACCCCTATCAAATATGTTATAGTTATATTTATATTATATATAAAACTTGAAAAGTAATTAACTTTTTTAATTTTTGTATTTAAAAATTAAAGCAAAGTCAGATTAAGTCTGAATAAGATCCGAGTTCGTTAGGATTTGAATTCGAATCTGAGGTCTTCAAATTAACTAGATTCAGATGCAAATTTTCAACAGTCAGATCAGATTTAGATTTTTCTCAATCTAATTTGAATCCATTTGGATTACAGTCCTATTTTCTTTACCCAATAAAGTTTAAAAAAATAATTCTCTCTATTCTTCTAAAATGGAAGAAGGTAAAAAGGCTCAAGCAAAATAAAATGAAGGGAATTTGTTCTTTTGGAGATATTTTAACAAGGCTCAGTTTGGAAAGAGTAAAAATATAAATATGTAATACAAATATTTATGGCATAGAGACTCTTGATCTCCTTCTGGTTTACCATGCGAAGAGACTGCCTCGCCAGTGGGAACACTGCAGAGTGGCTCTAGACAATGGTGAGCACGCTCTTAATCCTAAGATATCGAATTATTTGTGATATTTCTGCCCAACTCAAAGTAGTAGAGTAGGATATTCTCAATATGATATCATCTCAGGGGTCATACAAATTTTCACACCCAGATTACAAGTT